TTTTAAGAACTGGGTAGGTCGCAGCAGCCAGAGCAGGGAACAACGTGGAACCTAACACGTTGGCCAGCGTACCACGTACGGATCGCAGCGGTATCAGATGTATGATACGTGTGTGCGCCGGCGACTGGCCAGGGAGCATCCGCTGTTACCTCCAGAAACGGACCTCGAACCCAGCACGCACTAGTCGAAGCCAGGATAAACTGAGTCATTGAAGCTACACAGATGTGTGAGCTTCTGTCGTAATCCATTCTAACTTTAGTATCCGCATTTTTGTCTACACTGGTAACGCTTAACAACACCGTACATCACTGCATGTTCATCGGTTTCGTCCGTGACAATGGTTACATCCCTCCCGGCTAAGAGCCAGCCCTTTATGCTACGTCGTTTGTCAGCTAGTGAGCCAGCACCACGCCGGTAGACCTCCGCCTGTTGAATTATCATGTAAAGTCGATTTTCCAACTCATTGATCAATGCTGTTTGCATCGGTCGCCGAAAGCGTCTGGCTTCATCAGTCTAGATTTTGGCAATGTGTATGATAACAACTGACAGCTACCCTATGTGATTGGGTTAGGTCTGTGACTGCATCCAGAATCGACTTCGCAAGGGTGCCTCAGCTTAAACCTGGTTCATGTTGGCTTTAGCCGATTAGAATGCCGGCAACTTTTCAAACTTACAAAACTTGTACAGAAAATGGGCATAACAGACGCATTTCCATGGTGACAATATCTACGGGCTTCCGAGCAAGATGTGTTGGACGGCTTAACAATATGGACCTGAGATGGGAACTTGGGAGGGCCACCGTACCCCCGGCGCGCGCCATGGCTGGCGGACGCCCCTCAGGTGGAAAGAAAACAAAAAACGAATATTTTTTTCTTTATTGGATATCTACCTGGATCAAGGTTTTCACAAGTGACGAATGTGGAATTTGAAGTGCCAGGATGGCAGGGGGCAGCTGTGAGCCACGTAGTGTCCACAAGCCGGCCCGTCATGAGCCCCATCAGAGCGCGATGTCGCACCAGCACACACACGCAGTCACATCCCACTGGCATCAACATCAACGAAGGAATGCGGACAAACAAACGTACCTTCCCCACAAAGCTTGGCGTCAGCAAGACCACAGAACACAGAACAAGACCAGTTCGACGGGGGCTTGGTTTCTTTAGCCAGAAGTGCGCTTCGTTTCAGCTTCGCTGCACGTTGCCCCGGAGCAGCATTAATTCACAATGAGGTGTTCGAATGGCGAGGTTTGAAAAACGGAAAACTCAGAACCCACTGGAGTCGACAGCTGAAATATGGACTAAATGAGCGATGACGCGCCGCACAGCGCGACGTTACCGCTCGGAATAAGCGGGAGATCGTCCCGTCGCTGTTCGGCCCGTTTCAACAGTGGTCCAACAAGGTAATTTTCTTTCGACTGGAGAGCCTGCGTCAATGAATCGACGCGAACTGTTGCGCGACGCTCGCTAGGCAAGGACATTACGGGCCGTTACGAACAACACCTCAGTATGACGTAACATCGGAAGGCTTAAACCGCAGTGAAATCGCAAGCCTGGTCACTCATTCGCAACGTAAATCGCGGCACGGAAGCTTGCCTCGATTTTGAAGCCGCAAAAGGTAACAGTGATGTATTATTACAACCGAACTAGTATTTGAAGACACAGGTTTGCTAGGACAATGATCGAACCCGCAAACTAATGAATGGCAACATACATTGCATCGTTGGACATCGTTGACATTGTTCGTTTATCATCGTTGATCGATGACAAACGGTCAGGTCTGTTGATAAAACGTTCCGTGATGACAATCTCGGCAATGATCATAACAAGTGTCACATAACCGACACATTCACGCCATCAACCCATCTGGCGAGGTAACTGAATCACCAAATGAACAGGCGACTTGGAACGGACCGATCCACGGCGCGAGCCCCGCACTGCCGCAATTATCCCCCATTTGGTTCACACGGCGCGCTCATCAGAGCAGCCCGTCTTTAAAGGCGGACTGCTCACGAGGCTGTGCAGTGAGGGGGGGGGGGGGGGGCACGCCGCGGTGACCAAACGGCATACCACACAACACCGATCGTGTGCGTCAGTACCTGCCGGTGCAACACCCATGTACGGGCGTCCTCAGTCTCGAACAACGGCCAGTCGCCAGATGCCAAAGGCCACCTACCGGCCGCGCGTTGAACTTAGGGTTTGTTGCCCCGTCGCAGAGAGGCGTGACTAGCCTTCGTTCATGGGAGCGTCGCCCGACTGCACGGCCCCGGACCGCACGCGCCGGTGCACTCCAGGGATGGGGGACGCAGAAGACTCCCGGGCGCGAGACGGCTCCTGCAAGGCATCGGGCAACGTGTCGGCGCAAACGCCGCGCGCAGCATCGGAGCACACGTCTAGCAATGCTCAACACAAGTGCGATTCTTCAGTACCCCCTCAGTACCAACACATGCACACACAGCGCCGTATAAACAGGGGTGTAAATTAACGTGCTTCATTGTGGGGAGGGAGGGCATTAAGAAGATGGATTTTTCACGGCGACAACACTCGCTGGCAGTTTCACACGTTCGTGATCGATCAAATACAAACAAGGGGGAGGGGGAGGGGGGGGGGGCATTGAGAAGACGTATGCCTAAGGCAACAACACTCGTTGGTAGTTGAATATGTCAATGATCGATCACATAAAACAGGACAGGGCTTAATGTGTGAGCAAACTACATTTTCCACCAATACCACGAAAGCCTGCATCCGCTCGAGTCTTAAGCCCCACACAACTGTGGGGTGTTTTTGTCACTTGCACTGTGATTGTGTGGCATCCGTGGCTCAACCAGTGCGAGCTGCACAAGACGTGACTGCTGGCAAAGACGCGCCTGAATTTCACAGTCATTCACCGTTGTCTGAAGGGCAATTTTTTGCGCCTCATCTCGCCAGTACAGTACAACAGAATATCGATCAAATAGTTTAGTAATTCAATTTTTCATATGCTGGGGACACATACAAATATAGCATTGCACTTGATTTTTTTTTCAAATATAAAAGCTAGTAAATATGCTCCCCAATGAGCCCTTGTTACATTACGTCATACCTTGTACAACATTGATTAACTTGAAATTATCCGCACAATTTTCGCAGACTTGCAGCTCACAAACTAGAGGGATCTAGGTGTTAAGAAGGGCGAGGCTATGAGCTGCGCCAAATGTTCTTCAACATGGCGTTGAAAAATTTAGAAAGTTGCAACAAAGCTATTGATCCTTTCATATCTTTCCTTTTGCTGCGAGTTCTCTTTACATCGTAACACTAATTCTGCAACGTTATCTTTATGCTGTAACAATTATGCAAGTTCCGACCTGAACACAATCACGATGAAACCCAACTACCACATACTGTAGCCTTGATCATAACACAATTTAGTTACACTCCTGGTCAAAGGGAAAAATGGCAATATTTAAGACGTTTAAGTTCGTCCAAGTTGCTTGCTTCATGGCACTATCATTGTCTGCTCTTTCTAGAAAAAAAATCCTGCAACGAACAGCGCATATAGTTTCAGAAACACTTGTCTCACAACAGCACACTACAGGTTTCCCTAGACCCTATGCCACCATCACAAGGCCTAGAACTCGGTGACTCGGACAAACGACTCAAACCCTATAACGCATGCGTACTCCCTGTCTCGGTCCATCGTCACGGTCGCCGGAAGGGGACGGAGGTCTCCGGCCTCCAGCCCAGTCCAGGGACATCCGCCCGGCCCGCGGCCGCGCCCGCCCGCCCCAGCCGCCGGCCGCCGTGCGTCGGTCCCACTGACCGGGTGGTCGTGCCGGGCGGCCGGTGGCACCAGCGCCAGGTCGGGCCCGCCGCCGTAGATGCCCTTCAGGTAGGCCCACAGCTCGGCTGGCAGCTGCACGTGGTCAGAGCCGGGCCGCACCTGCCGCAGAGGCCGGGTCACTGACCCGCAGGCGACACCCCCACACACGGCCGGCACTGGCCACCGACCACAACAGCATCAGCAGGCAGCGTTGGTCGCCAGTGATGTGCGTTATGCGCAGCTTAAGCACAGTCATCCGAATACGCTTAAGTGAAGAGTATGCTAGGTGATGATGATAATTGGGATTTTACGGCACGCCGGCTACGATGATCATTTTGCGGCCCGTTACAATATGCTAGGGTGGCAGAGAGGGGATACAAGTGCTCGTCAGGGATTATTTGTATTCATTTTGCCACCTTGTTGAAAGCCCATTGCGTAGCGTAGAAGTGCTATCAGCACATCTACGCAAATGCACGACAATTTTTACAAGCCCTTCACATCTTGCACAAGTGCATGCTGAAGATGAATTAAAACAGACACGTATTTTTGATGACAAAGTGTTTGACTCTTGAAGATTTCACATTCCTACTAGCGTGACCCGTCACATTATGCTAATTTGAGAACTATTGTACAGCTCCAACTGACAGCTATGGCATGCGTGCATGATTTTAGATGCATGACGTGAAGCTAGGTGGCTTGCAAGAAACTCAAAACAAGGTGTTTTTGTCCTAAGGCCACTGTAGTTTTACTCTCCAATACAGAACGCCAAACGGAAATAGCCTCATAGGCTAACCATCCCTTCGTGTGGAGCAATCTGGCTGGCTCAACTCAAAGCGGTAGCAAGGCCACCAAAAGGACACATTTACTTAAGCTTTTGAAAAACGGACCCCAGCCTCCACGCCTCCCATTTGAAAGACAACAAAAGCTTCCCAGATACTCCCTGACGAGCATTGTGTACCCTCTCCCCATCCAGCGAGGCTGGATTCCGTCCCGTCTAAGCAGACGACAAACCCCCTCTGCCGCTCGCGTCGCGCCAGAGACGGCTGCGCCGGCCGCTCACCTGCGCCCCACCGCTGCTCACCTGCGCCACGCCGCCGCTCATCTGCCTCACGCCGCCGCTCACCTGCGCCGCGCCGGCCGCTCACCCGCGCCACGCCGGCCCCTCACCTGCGCCACGCCGACGCTCCCCTGCGTCACGCCGCCGCTCACCTGCGTCACGCCGCTCTCACCTGCGTCACGCCGCTCTCACCTGCGCCGCGCCGGCCGCTCACCTGCGCCATGCCGGCCGCTCACCTGTGTCACGCCGCCGCGCGTCGACACGATGCCGGCGTTGTCGATGCGGCCGGGCGGCTCCAGTTCGCGGCCCGCGCGCGAACGCCTCCCAGCGGCGGTACCAGGCGGCCGAGAGGGCGGCCGCCGGCGGCGCGCCGCCCGCCTGCAGGCGCCGGAACTCTGTCAGCTCGCGCCGCTGCCGCGCCTGCAACGCGTCCCACTCGGCTCGGCACGGGCCACACTCGAACAGCGCGTTGGCGACGGGGCCGCCGCCCAGCGTGCCGTGCAGGTACTCCCAGCCGGCCTCCGGCAGGCGTACGCAGGCCGCCTCCACCGGCACGCGCAGGCCCGGAAGCACACCGCCGTGTCGGCACAGGAAATCCGTGTTGTCGATGGGGCCCGGCTCGGCGAACGTGTTGAACTTGTTGATCCACTGTCGCGAGACGTAGTAAGGCAGGAGGGAGGGGTCGGCGCGCGCCCGGTGGATGAGCTCTGTGGCGCGTTGCCGGCGCAGGCTGGCCGCCTCGCAAGACTTCCTGCCAACGCCAGACGGACGGCGTCAGTGCCAGTTCATCCCCTCAGACAACGTCCCGACGAAGCCCCGCCGCAAGACCGCCACGAGGTCAAACATATGGCGGCACTGCAAAGTTCTGCTAAGCAGTCCATAATATTTCATGGCCCACAATGCCATCTGCACACTGTTTCTGATGACAAAGTGGCGAAACTATATCGGAGCAAGCACCATCAAAGAAGCTCACTGCCGAGTTCGGAAATTCGGCATCAGCTGTAGAGCAAATAAGAGTGAGCGTACGGGCGCGGCACCCACTGCAGGTTTATTACTTAACCCAGGTATAAAAAACCAACTGAACCCGTAACCAACATAACAACGTCACATCACGTTAAATGTAACCGAATGCATCGTGCAACTGCGCCACAGGCAGCTAGCAGCGGGACTTATCGAAGCCCAACGCGTGAACCGCAGTGGAGACAGCCCGCCCAGGACACAACAGCGCCGATGCACCCCACCCCGCCGGCGGACGACTGACCTGTAGAAGAGCATGTACGCCTGACAGGACGCGACCGTCTCGGCGCTGACCTCCGTCACGTACTGGTCGTCGTACTCGTACCAGGCCCCCGAGGTGTGGTTCAGCGCATAGCCCGTGTAGTGGCCGGCGCCGGCCGTGCCGTGGTGGCACACGACGGCCGCCAGGTCGTAGGACGTCACCTGGCTGCGGCTCTGCTTGTGCAGGTAGCCCGACATGTCCAGACCCTCCAGCGGGAACTCGACGTGCGTGCCCAGCTTGGCGGAGAACACCAGCTCGTGCCGGAAGCGCTTCAGGTGCACAGTCAGCACCTCGGGCAGCTCAAGCACGCGGCAGAACTTGAGCCCGTTGCGAAGCATCTTGCAGCGGCCGCAGCTGTACATGTTGTCGCCCTTCAGCTCGTCCGACGAGAAGAACGACGCCAGGCAGTCGTGCAGCGACACGCTCGGGCCCGAGAACCACGAGGTGATCCACGACCAGAGCCAGGGGGCCCAGCCCTGCTGCGAGTAGAGCTGAGCGCAGGCGGCCGGCCGGCCCGCCGACGCCGCCTGCGTGTGCAGCACGGCCAGGTGCTCGCGGCTCGGGATCGGCAGCGACAGGTCCTGGAACGTCTCGCGCGTGGCCGATACACCGTTGCACGTGAGGCACTGCACCGACGACAGGATGCGTCCGTCGAACACGTCCGAGACGACGCTGCGGTAGCGGAGTCGTCGGCCCGGACGCGCCGGCGACGGCGGCCGCGAGCGCGTCGGGCTGGGCGGCGCCTCGGCCGGCCACGGCGCCGCCTCCGACTCGGCGTCGGCGAACTCCACGTCGATTCCCGACGTGTCATCGGGCCCGCTGGACGGCGTGTCGGCCAGCGGCAGCGGCGGCGGCGGCTGCGGCTGCGGCGGTGGCGGTGGAGTTGGCGGCGGCTGTGGCGAGCGCTGCGTGTGCACCTGACGGCGGCGGCGCCGGCGCGGCGCGCGCGGCTCACCGGCCGAGCCGCTGTCCGTGGAGCGGTCACTCAGACCCGAGTCGGCCGTCTCGTAGTCGGCGTCCTCCTCATCGCCGTCCGAGCCGGCCGAGTCGGAGGGCGGGTCGTCGCGAGCCGCGGCCGGCTCCTCCAGCTCGTCCTGCTCGCCGTCGAAGCGGCCGGTCGGCTGGCGCAGCTCCTCGTGCATCACGTCCATGAAGCAGCGCAGGAACTCCTGGCTGTCATGCTGCTGGAAGCCGCGGAACTGCGGGTGCGCCGCGCGCAGCGTCTGCAGCACGGCCGTGGGCGCCAGGCAGCTGGCGCGCCGCCGGCTCCACATCTCGTGCACCAGACGCAGGTAAGCGCGCGCCAGGCCCGGCTTGCGGTCGGCCGGCACCAGCCGGTCGCAGTCCAGGAAGTAGCGCGTCAGCGGCGGCAGGTTGGAGAGCGCCTGCAGCGCCGCGTTCATGTAGCACGTGTTGCCGATGTTTCGCAGCCCGGTGAGGCCGCACGGCGGCTCGTCCTCGCTGCGATCGTCTTCGTCGTCACTGTCGGCCGGCGCGCCGGCCACGTCCACGTTGTCGGCACTGATGGCGGCGCCGGCGTGGCCCACGGCCGGCACGTTGTTCTCCAGGAATACCTCGGCCTCGCACACGTAGCACCAGACGCGCAGCGTGGTGATGTTGAGCACGAGGCAGTGCTGCGGCTGCTGCTGGTGGTGCTCGGTGCTGTGGTCGGCCTGGTCGCCGCAGCCCAGTCGCGTGCAGCCGTCGTGCAGGCACAACCAGAGGTTGGGGTCCTGGCGGCCGCACCAGTGGCAGCGGCCGTCGCGGCGCCGCTGCTCCACGTCGGCCGGTGTGAGCTCGGTGCCGATGCGGTCCACGTGGCCGCACCGGCTCTGGCAGGGCGCCGACAGTGGCTGCTTTGACATTGCAGACACTGGCGGCTACCAGGTGAAACAGCAGACACTGGAAACATCATAATGTTGGACCAACAATGACATGCTGGGGTATCAGTTGGTGGGACTTCATGTGTCATTGGGGCTTTACAACGCACCCAGCTGCTGAGGCTATATGACGTCACCTGCCTCTCACCCTGGCAGGAAGGGCGGGCATTGCAGGGAATCAAACCCTGTACCTCTGGTTGCCCAGATGTGCATTGGTGGAAATCTATTTGCCAAGGCTTTAACAGGAGTATCTTCAGTCTGTGACAGCTATTTGCACACACATTTACTATTTCTTTATAATAATGCCTGTATAGATTGCCTACAACATCACCTGTATGACAAATGTTGCATAACAATAAAAAATTGTCCTGGGAGAAACTAACACCAAGGCATTCAAGCACTACTTTAAAGATGGGCCATAGACCCAACAAAACTACATGTTGAAACATTTGATTTTGACACCAAGTTAGACTTGAACAAAAAGTGGGAAGTTAAAGTGAATGTGAAATAAGTTAATTCAAATATCTAATATATCTACATAAAAAAGCAGCACAAGAACTAAATTCACAGCCACAGTTATAACTTGCACATGTCCCTAACATGCAAGTCATCATGTATGCTCACATTCAACTCTTCTCATTCATTGCCTATGGGGAAACAAGCAATATTCCCATCTGTGGTACATAGAAAATGATAAAACATGATGAAACAAAGTGTGCTTGCAAAGGTCTTATGATTTGTTTTTACTAAAAAGCTTAGAGTTGTTTGCCAAAAATGTGTTAGACCACATACTGTCAGGCTGCATATCACTGCCTAATTTGTCAGATATTTTTCCCTTTGCCATACACTTTCTGTTGTTTTCATGACTAGATTAAAAGCAACACTTCCACAGGCCATGGCTTGCTCAATAGAGGCCTAAACTAATATATCTGTCAGGTTATTCTGCTACCACAAACATTTCAATATATATTTTCACCTATATTGTGCTTGTTTTGGACCTCCATAAGCATGTATCCAGAAATGAATTCCTGCATAGTCTGCATCTCAGTCAAAATGTTAAATTTTCACTGAATGTCCAAACTTTCTTTTTGTATGCTTACAATTATACAGCCTGTCCAGATATTATATAATGAATAGAAGGGGAAAATTTTATCACACGTACACAAGGTGTGAGAAGTGGAGGGAAAGGGTTTTGGGAGACCATCATTATGCTCAGATGTGATTGTAAATAAATTTCAGGCCTTTGCTAAATCATTCTAAGACCTTGCACCTAAGGCCTTGCACTGTTGGCTTCTAACAAGCCACTTGTTAACCACATTATGCACCTATGGCTCCAATTGTGGTCAAATGGAAACTACGTTTTCAGGATGTGAAGCTTAACACAACATACCCAAGAAGAGGGATTAAACCAGCATAACCAGGTGGTAATTAGTGGTAAGGTTGAAACATGGCCAAAAGCATAATGTAATTAATGAACTGCCGGCACAAGATCATGCCATGATGGTGGTTTAGATTGTGGTTGTCTCACTGTGTCTCCTGTTGTGTGGCATGGATGGTACGCACTGTAACAGTGCAAACATCACATACAACTAATGTCAATTCCTGAATTACTATTTTCCAGCACATGATTAACATAGATACCTAATGCATTTATCAACAATGCAGTAAAGTTCAAACATTCTAAGACACCTTGAACATTTGTGAGCCAACCAAGACGCCTTCTGTTAAAAATAATCGAATCGCACGCGATGTGTTTGAGATGTGCTTGACGAACATCACACTGTAAAAGCGAACAATAAGTGCACATCTGCATAGGTAGAGCAAAAACCAAACAGTTCTCCCTCCACCTCTTAAGTAATCCGGCATCTGACAGTAAAAAGTTGCAATTGCTGCCCATCACACATTCTAATACGCCGACTAGTACCTTGCAACGTCCCAGGGATGTATTTCTCTATGACTCTACCCCTCTCACCACCTCTGCTCCGACCGGCGCACAACATACACACCTCCGACCCGTGTAATCTACATGATCCTTCGGTGAGGCAACCATAGAGAGCGAGAAAGCGACTGGAGATGGCAGCGGTGACTACAATAAAGAGGTGATTTGATGACGTTGAGTACAGACTTATTTCACTCGTCGTGAGTTTATCCTTCTATAAGGCAGAACAAAGTGAAAATACGACCAATAGCAATTTTTTCACATTATAGGGGCTTATAAATTGGCCCAAAACTATGGAACTGATGTAGCATCATTCATCTGCTATATCTACCGTAAAACAGCAGCGATCCCGTTTAACCATTGTTAGGTGTATCTCATTTATCGTGTTACTGTCAGTCATATTCCAATGGCATTAAAAATATGGCCAATTCTTTGGTGAACGGACGACATACATTCTGCTACCAGCTCGTAATAGGCAGCTTCGCTAACATCGCTAGAATCAAGGCCATATTTAGAGACTTACGCAAAAATCTACAAAACAGAGACATCACCAATATGGAAGCCCTCGGCCTTCACTTCCGTTGCCGTGTGGGGGCGCTGTAGCTGTCTCGTCGAAAGATGCCTTCTGCGGAGGCGAAGCAGGAAAATATGGCGTCCAGCGACAGTGTCGATCCATTTCAAAAGGCTATCACATATCTCAAGTTTAAAATCAAGAACATGGATCAGAGGAAGGTAAGCGGTGGATGGTTGCCGGATCTCCCTTGAAATGTGCGTCACGTCTGTCTCATTGCGCCTTTCTTTGTGGTCCGGTTGTGCACGTGTTCCCAATTTTTGTTTTTTATGGCCAATGCTTGGTTTGTTTTTGTTAGAGCGCTTTCCTAGAGGTTATTTCTCAGATGTTTGTGCCAAGATATGCAGATTGCCATGCAGTTGGTAAATTTTTTTTTCTGTTATTGTTGGGTAAGTTTATGCATTTATTCCCTATGCAGGTGTGACCTATTCATGCCACATAGGTTTCTTAGTCAGCCATGAATGGGTAGGTACATGCATAGGTAGCAATAGTCAGATGGAAGCACATAATACTAGCAGGCTACCTTATGAATGGTGGTGTGAAGTTAGAACAAATGCTTGCTTCTTGCCTGGTATGTTGGTTTCTTGTATATTTAGCCAAAAGAGGTACCTGATTGCTGCACCAGACATGAATAAGCAGCTTGCTGGTGTTATGATCAATGTGTCAAATTGTAGGATATTACCTGAATATGTACTGGAAGCTTGTTGATAAAAGTTGTTTCATTCAAGAGGGTTCTTGCCATATAAATTTAGATAACTAATGGAACAGTCTGAATATGTTCTAGACAAGCTGGGCAGTCTCCAGAGAGTAACATTTTTATGTGAAGTTATCTTGTGTTAAAAGATATGGTGCTGGCTAGTGATGTAGTTTCACAAGATGAGTTGAGAGATGGGGAATAGCAATGACTTCCCCTGAAATATACCATAACATAGGATATGCATTTCATGCACTTCACTGTGAAAGTGGTGGAGGTGGCAGGGCTGGAGCCCTTTGAATAAGCGAAAGACTTTACCCCTGGTATTGCTATGGTGAACCGGAGATGGCATATGACATTAAAAGCTATTTAAGAATGTGCAGTATGAAACTCTACAGCAGGAAATATTGAATCAAGATGCCTCTAAACAGCCCAGAACAGTTGGTCAGATATCTGCAAGAAGAAGAGCCCCATATCTTGATTTTTTTAAAACCAGAAATACCATTGTTACTTGGTCTCGCTCTGACCAGAGATGTAGTCACAGCACAAAAGTGACTGCATTGCCAAAATGTCCACTCAAATGCCCTAAACCCATAGCATATTCTGGAACTTGTATGGTAACAAATGCCTGCCTTCTTGTGGCAAAATTGGTCTCCCAGTTTGGGAACAATATTGTAATGGTAGATGGGGCTAGTCAATCCAAAGTGTACCAATATCCAACAGAGAATTTCCAGGAAAATGTGCAATAACTTGTATGCATTAGCTGCAGCTTTGGTGCAAAATCATCCTTGCATTCCTGAAAGAATGAACTCCATATTTACCAGGCTGTAAGTACACAACAAATATAATAGTAGTAGTAGTGCAAAGATGTTATAAAAAGAATGAATGAATAAAAGTTATGGTTACAACCAATGACCAATGTCTCTGGAAGTTACCAATGTTGTGTGCTTTAAGTTAGCTCAAGTTGATACAGTAATAAACACTGATGACTTTAATGTAGTCATGATCATCAACATTGAATTACCTGATTCAGTGTACTTTGCAGCATGGCTATCCCAAAATTGGGTTTAAAGTTGGACATTGCAGTGTTCCTACTGCTCTGAAAAAAAAAACAGGACAAAGTGTTTGGGAAGCTGCTCCCATGTAGAAGGTGCCATGGTCTAAACAATTATTTTTTCATGATAATGACACCTTGGTTGCCATTGGAAGCTATGCATTATGAATTTTGATCATTTTTGACATGTTCTTTGATGTGTTCTTTTTGGGCATCATATGACCATAGTGATCAGCACATCCTAAAACCCTTATCACCATCACATCACCACAGACATACTCTGTTATTGAGGGATTTATGCGGCCAGGGCATGTTGCTCTGTTGATTTAGCTGTTTTGCCTACAAAAGAATGAGAGCAGAAATTAATGTTTCTATTATGCTTGCCACCCAAATGAAGAAAATGGAAGTTGGGTCTATAATTTTTTGTATGCAGAATTATGATGATGAAATGAATGGTTTTAAATACATCCCAGTGATAAACATAATATTATGCAGGGGCAATTGCAGGAATAGTTTAGGCTGAGGAGTGCTTCAAATGTGTACAAAAGGTGTTTTGGCAAAAACCTACCTATCACCATCCATGAATGGGTACTGCATTGCACTACAAAAGGAGAGCATGTTCTTAACACAGAATGTGTTAAAATTAACAACTAAAGGATTAAGATATATGGCTTTACAGTGAGTGCATAATGCATTGTCTCAAGTTTCTCTGCCACAACATCAGGTTCAATTTTAGTTACATCTGCTATTTGGATGACATATCGCTGCAATATGCCTTGGTTTTAAAGTAAAATGTTTGTAGTGAAATATGTTACTGAGATAACTGCAAAGCTGGCCAGTTTTCATGGGAAAATGTTGTGATGAGGCAGCCTCAACATAATGCAACTTATAAAGCAACTTCTATGTAATGTGTGTGTTTCTGTTTCACTGCTGTCTAGAATATTCCATGAAACATTCCATTGCATCTAAAGCTCTAAGACCTTATTGCTTCATTACAAGCACCTAGACTGCATTATCATGGTATGATTCTGTATGAGCCAGCATCAATGCTAGTGTGTGATGTTTGGCAGCAATGAAATTGTCTCTGTTGTGTGGGCTTTGATCATGGCAAGTGGAGGACAGTCCAGTGGTTTAATTGAGGCACATTATTTTATTATTTGGGAAGAAAGGTCAAGCAGGATGCAGATAGTGTGGTGATAGTGTAATGCTTAATATATCTCTAGTTAAACATTGCACATCAAGGAAACCAGAGATACTGGGTTCAACTTCCAGTAGTGCAAGTAGTGTTGGCTTATGTGTAACATCTACCATGTGAGCCTTGATCAAATTCAGGTGAATGGCCATGCAGTTTATTGACTGGTGTAGTCCTTGTTTTACTTCCCTAGAGTGTCAACTTTCCCAGCATAATGTTAGGTCTAAAGGAGCACAGCAGATGTCAAGCTTTGCATATTTATAATAGAGACAGAGGCTGTGGCACACCAACAAACATTCACAAGCTGTGATTAATGACACATCACATGGAAGTGTCATTGATTGTAGCATAGGTAGAGGTGTCATGCAGGTCCAGTGGAAAACACTGTTAAGTCCTGGTTTTTGGTTAAATGATACATTATTTGGAATGAGTTTACTCAAGTTTGATGTTGGATGTGGATTGTCTCAATTTTTGTGTTCACTCACTCAGGTCCATAGACTGGGTGGATGCATATTACCTCATAGTTTAGTGTGAATAATTTTTCAAATTTTGAGATTTTCATTTTTAGTTATCACCACAGAATTACATTCACATTTAACTGAAATGCAGGCAAGCAGAACATATTCTAACATCTGGACATGACATGCCAAGCTGGTTCGAGCATGCATTTTCAGCTACCTAGCCAGCCTCAGCTACGTAGGACCACCATAGAGGAGTTCAGGAAAGTTACCAGGACATAAGCACTTCAACTGCTGACGTCATTCAATCAGTTTGGTGACAAAAATTGCGCGTGTTTTCGAGAAATTGAAACGCTCTGACATCATATCGCATCTGTCGATTCGCTGGTTTCACGATGCGCACAGGTTTGGCAAGGAAAAGGTGCATGTTTATTCAAGATTGAGATTTCCGATGTCAGCTGAGCAGAGCCGGCTTGTGCCCGCTGCGACACCAACTGCTGATACGTCTGCCACGTGTCGCCAGTGCAACACTCGAACTCCGCTGTTGACCGTGACAATCCTCTGATGTGTCTCCTGATATGGTAACCTTCGCTGAGAATAGCATTGGCATCGAGCGCCGGACGCAGATTAGAGGGGGGCCGCCCGCCGTCACCCCGTCACGCCTGGTCCGCCCGGCGAGATGGGGTGGATGCTGATTGACCGATGCCGCGCCGGACATCCCGTGCAGAGGCGGGCCCAGGTGTAGGAACGTCGAACAAAGGACAGAGCCAATAACCCCACTAGCAAGCCGATGATTTGCGTGCCGTGCCGTAAGGTTAATGATACATTCCACAAAAGGTGGGAGGCTCCTCTCCAACATGAGAAGAAGGGGCAGTCCCTCCCCCCTCAAAACACTCATTTGCCGATTTGGAATGGTAAACGGGGGCGGATTCGCAAGGAAGCAAAGCCCATGGCCAGGTCCTTCGGCACATGGGCGGGGCCACGCCCTAGGGACTGGGGGCGACAGAGCCGAGTCTGATGTGCATGGTTAAGACTGGACGGTAACTCCGTTAATGAAGCGAGTTGAGAGCAGTGTTGGATGTGACGCGACGTTGGGAGGTGCGCCCTGTGAACTCGTACACACCATTTACTCACGTCGGTTGTTTGATTGTGTTGACCTGGCATACCGTACAGAACTGTCATCGACTCAGCATGCGCGGATACACCGGACCAGCGTCGTGCCTTCTTCGATAACTTTTTCGCCTGGTTTTAGCACATGTGGGGACAAAATATTCACCAGGAATACCAGGCCTTTGATATTTGGTCGCATTCGTACCCGTTTCGTGCTGTGCTTGGTATGCGTGTGGCGTGCTGGACTCGCTCTTCAAACAGGGGATGTGTGGCACCGACGAGACCGCCACGATCCCAGAATTCATCTTACGATGTGTTCAGTTCTAAATAGTTAACTCGGTGTACCACTGCCATTAGGTATTTATCATGCCCTCCATACCCAACGACCCTGCCGTCAAGTGACGGGTTAAGTTGCTTCAGGATACCAAAAACAAATGAAAACGAATTTGGCATACCGAAAATGCCCTTTGTTGATGTTGTAAAAATAGGGCTAAAGGGGTTTGATTCATATTTCTTGGCGACTTCTTCAGGACCCCAATCCTGAAATCCCAGTCCGGTCCTCTCTCCAGCCCTCCTGAGTCCTGAAGAAGCTGTGAAGCGAAATATATTAACTCACTATTTTGGCCCTATTACTATAGCATATGCATCGACCATTTACTCCATCTCACATTTATTTTAGCTATGCTAAAAAATGTATCCGAACTAACAATTGAAAGAAGTAATCATTGCTACCAGTAAGTTGCTGGGGTTTCCGGGAAACATGACCGGTAGAATAAGTAGTGACCAGTGAGGATAAGGTTAGCGTATTCATTTAACTCAGCCATTTATCACTCGACCGATGCATCCGGTAACAAAAATCCACATGAACCGTGCGGAAGTCTCTGACTGAAACCCTCGCGGTGTAAACGGACCCGTATGAGAGGAAGACGCAGCCAATCGTCTCGTGACCCCACACTAGGGTCGCTCGCTGCCGGCCGACCTGTTCACAACGGACCGCAATTCGGCCACGAATAGCGCCGCACCGGTATGACTGCAAGACAACGGTGCTTGCGTAATGCACTGTAAGATGTTCCGTCGCGATGACCGGCGCCATTCTCCCGCAGAAAAACCTGGAGACCATCAAGGAGAAGCTGGACGCGGGCATGGAGAAGGAGCTGGAGCTGGCGCAGGTGAACGCCGCCTCCAAGCTGCCCGAGGTGTCCAGCAACATCAGCTTCCTGGAGCAGACGCTGGCGCGGCTGCAGACGCACCATGACGAGCACGTCAAGTTGGATCGGGCGCGCAAGCAGCAGGCCAAGCAGGAGCGCTACCAGCTGGACCTGGAGCGGGTCCGACGCATCCTGGTGATACAGGTGGGCACCGCCGGCGCGTCGCACCGGCGCCAGGCCGCCGCCGTGCGCGCGGCCGCGGCCGGGCGGTGTAATGGCCGTGCTGTCTGGCTGGCCTGTTGCATACAAGAATGGCTGGACGTCGGCTGATGCGTACAGGGACACAGTCGTTGGCCTTGTTTTGTGTTGTGCGCGCGGACAGTCCTCTGGTGAATGCCCCTGTCTGAGTTGAGGTGTGTTCGTGGTTTGTGTAGTGGATTGCGATTGTTTTCGGGGAATTGTGGGTCTCTGTGTATGGGGCATACTACTGGCTGTTATTCTCGCCCTGTCGTGCTTCGTAATTTACTGACCGACGTGAAGTCAAAGCGGGCAGCTTATTTACTCAGGTGAATATCGCAGCATTAAAATGTGTCGCAGGTTAAGAAGTCCGTTACATGACGGTGATAAGCACCTCACTCGGGTGAACCGATGCATCCGTCCTGGCATGTGGCTCATTCGCGACGGGTTGCACGGTGTTTGAATGACGCAACAGCGGTGTGGTGGCCGTGTTGAGTGACGCAAGCGAATCAATATTTGATCCAATATTTGCGTTACCCCGTTTTCCGATGAGGGGTTCCATGTCTGGCCTGCTGCGTTTGTTCTCCCCACCTGTGTCATCGCCCTGTTCCTATGCGTGGCTTATGACACATTGGGAATAGCTGGTGGGATTATTTATTTAGCCGTCGTTGGTCGCGTATCAGCCTGTTGCGTGGGTAATGTTGCAGCCGCCAAGATCGGCGCTACCGGCTGGAGGCGCCAGATTCACGATAAACGATGAGCCGCAGCCGTTTGAGGACTGGCAGATTACGGCCAGGTGCGGTGACGTCTTCAGTGATGTGCTGGGAACGCTCGGTGGCTCGGTGAACGGACAGCCGCCCATTAGCGGGTAGTTTGCCCGCTGGCGCCACCAGCTGGCGCTGTGCTTGTTACCGGGCGCGGGCGGAACTGTTTGTTGCTGGGGGCCAGCCTCGACACGGTCCGTTCTGGTCTATCGGCTGCTGCCGTGACCTTGGGGTGCTAGCATGACCACTAGTCACCAGCATTCCCTCCAGGATACGCGGCGACTTGCAGCGATAGCCGCTGAAAAGCAACGCCATTAGCGGCCATGAAACACGGCTGACGACATGGCGTCTGTAATCAGCGTGTCGCGCGCTACTGTGCTGCTTCCATTTGTGGGTGGAAAGCCTGGCCGGCGCGGCAGCGAAGTTCGGGCAGCGCACCTCACTGCGCTGGAACGGCTGCGGTCGCTGTCACCGACGTCATTAGCACCGTCCGGCTGTGGTCCGGCCGTGGTCTGACGGTGGTCCGGCCGCCGTCCGGCTGTGGTCCGGCCGTGGTCCGGCTGTGGTGGCCCGTCTGTGGCCGGCTGTAATCCGGTGGTGGTCTGGCCGTTGGTCCGGCTGTGGTCCGGCCGTTGTCCGGCCGTGGTCTGGGCGGCGTTCGCCACTGTGGCGGCCCGGCTGTTTCAGTTTGACGCGCCAACACCCGTGTGCCGCGCTGTTACCGCTGTTTTAGACGTTGTGCTCCGCCGTTTTGTACACTCCGAGTCGAGACCTGCCCAGCCCGTCATGTTTTGACTACTCCTGTGTGCGCCCCGCGCCACCGCACCCGCCACTGTACTGACGTCGTCGGCCGCCACCAGGACGCGCTGGGGAACGTCGACGACCGGGTGCGTGAGGACCTGCTTGCCGGCCGGCGCGGCGCGCCCCAGCTGACCGAGGCCGACCTCAAGCAGCTGGACACCATCTTCAAGCTGGTGACGCCCAGCAGGGACGAGGCGGACGTGCCCATCAAGGTGCGTGCGTGTGGAGTGGAGGGGCGTTACGCGTCTGACACAGTCGTCAGGGAGGAGGGCTGGTACAGCACGGCCAGTGCCGGCGGCTCAGGTATCGGGCGAGACACGTGTCTCCGGTGTCGGGTATCAGGTATCGGACGAGCCCGGCGGGCGGCGGCTCAGGTCGCGCTATCGGGGCGGGAACCACGGCTTAGGTATCGGACGAGTGTGGAGTGGACTCCGGCTCGGGCCGTTCGCAATGGTGGCTTGTAGCTGGCATGGCCGCAGTGGTCGTGATAGTACTTTAGCAACTTCAGACGTTCGGACCACATTCAAGATGGCTTTCTTACTTCGGAGTGGAGTCCATCATCGGTATTAAAGTGGACACTGATTTACGGTGGGCGTTCCTTCGCATTCCCTATGTCGGTATTGTGCATGAGTAGCGGCGTCGATACGCAGGCAGCCGACACGCTGTCGAAGGGGTGCGGTCACCGGTACTCCGGGCAAGCAGCGCTGGGCCGGACTGCCGAGCGGCCGTGGTCAAATGAGATAACAGGATGCATTCGTTACACGCTGTTGAGGGCGATTGGCGTGATTCGGCATGGCTATACGAAGTGAGCACGCTTGGCGAGGCGTCGCTCCGTTCGGCCATGGCAGGGCCATCGCGCGCTTCGTTGCTGGACCTCATCCAGCGCCACCGTTTTCGTAGGACTGCGAATGTAACTGGTAAGCTGCGGCCGATGTCGAATGTAACCGGTACGCTGCGGCCGATGTCGAATGTAACCGGTACGCTGCGGCCGGTTTCGAATGTAACCGGTAAGCTGCGGCCGACGTCGAATGTAACCGGTACGCTGCGGCCGGTGTCGAATGTAACCGGTAAGCTGCGGCCGATGTCGAATGTAACCGGTACGCTGCGGCCGATGTCGAATGTAACCGGTACGCTGCGGCCGATGTCGAATGTAACCGGTACGCTGCGGCCGATGTCGAATGTAACCGGTAAGCTGCGGCCGATGTCGAATGTAACCGGTACCCTGCGGCCGATGTCGAATGTAACCGGTAAGCTGCGGCCGATGGCGAGGGTTTCCGCGCCCCGTTTGACGGCGGCTCATGGCTGGTGGCGGTGGACCGCGGCGTTGGTTGACACTCGTCTGAGACGTGCCCTGGCGCACGGCGTGTGACGCTATCGGGCCGTCTGCTGCTGCAGGACCAGCTGGTGACGGCGGCCGAGCACCTGCTGCGTCTGGCCGACCGCTCGCAGAAGAAGGTGATCGGCACCACGTACGAGAACCTCACCAAGCTGCTGGAGACCATCTTCGAGAGCGGCGTGCTGTCGGAGGAGCCGGCGCCGGCCGAGAATGGCTGCGACGGCGCCGAGCACGGCGCCGAGGAGCCGGCGCCGGCCGAGGAGGCGGCCGCCGAGCCGGAGCCGGCCGAGGCGGCGCCGGAGCCGCAGCAGGAGCAGCCGCCGGCCGAGGAGGAGCAGGAGCCGGCGGCGCTGCTCGTGCCGGGCCCGGCGCCGGGCTCTGCCGGCGACTCGCCGCCCTACCCTCAGGAAGTGCTGCTGGCGCCGGCCGCCATGCACCCGGCGCCGGCCATGGTGCCGATGCCGATGCCGGTGCCGGTGCCGGTGCCGCAGCAGCCCAGCATCAACTTCCTGCAGGAGTCTGAGCTGCTGCGCGCCGACCCGTCCGTGCTGGACCCGGCCGTGGTGCGTTTCTCGCCGGCCGCGCCGGCCGACTACCCCGTCGCAGACGTTCACCGGCACCACGCCATCCCGTCGCAGACGTTCACCAACACCAACTTCGCCGGTCTACCGCCGGCCGCCGCCCTCTCCGAGTACGTGGCGGCCGGCGGCGTGTACGCGGCCGGCGGCGGCGTGGTCGACACCACGCCCAACCCGCCGCCGCCCATCCCGCTGCCCAACCACGAGCCGGCGCCTGCGCCGCCGCAGCCGCAGCCGGCCGCCCCCGCCGCGCCGGCGCCGGCGCCGGTGCCGGTGCCGGTGCCGGCCGCGACCGCGCCTGCGCCCGAGCCGCCCGCCGTCGAGGCGAACGCGTGGACGGCGCGGCGCGCGGCGGCGCCGGCGGCCAGCGCGCCGGCGCCGGCACCGGCACCGGTCGAGCCGGCGGCCAGCGGCAGCGGCGGCGGCGCCGCCGCCGCCGCGTGGGGCGACGGCGAGGGCGACACCGAGATCGGCCAGTGGAACGGCGGCGGCGGCGGCAAGAGCTGGGACAACGGCGGCAAGGCGGACACGTGGGAGAACGGCGGCGACAACCACTGGAACGGCACGGACGGTGAGTGGCGGCCGGCGCCGTCTGTGCGGGGGGCTAGCGCTGTTGCGAGGCGCAAGACGAGGTGGGCCTCTAGTGTGATGTGTGACGGCTGTTGCTGTGGCGTGCCCAACTAGAACGAGAACGTGTCGTGTATCTGTCGCAGCAGCGGCAGCAGACGTTAAGCCTATAGGAAGGCGCGTCAAGAGTGTGGATGTATTTGTTATCTGAAGGTTTCGTTTTGAGTGGCTGTTATCAACAAAGTTGCATGTCTTGAGGGAACATTACCGGTCTAAACCTGTCCGACAACCATCATCCGTATAAAGCCGCCTGTTGCCACCGTCGACTTGATCTGATTTCGTTCGTCATGTTGTAACGCCAGTGTACTGACACTGCGCTCCGCCGTCCCGCGTCCTTGATGCCTGATTGCCGTATACGGCGTGTGCAACATGACCTTGGTGCGCCTGGCGCTGTGCACGCGGGGCCGCAGTCTGCGCTCTGGTACCGTTCTGACGGCGCTCCCCCGACAGGACGCCGCGGCGGCTACCGGGGGTCGCGGCGGCGGCGGCAGCGGCCGGAGTCGTGGCCCCTCGAACGGCTTCGGCGGCCCGCGGCCGGGGCGGCTACGACCGGCCGCCGCGCACCGGCCGGGGCGGCGCCGGCGGCGGCTACGGCGAGGATCGACGCGAGCGGCCCGAGGCGCGGCGCGGCGCAGCCGGCGGCGGCGAGCGGCCGTTCCGCGGCAGCCGCGGCGGCGCCGGCGGCAGCGGCGGCACCGCCGGCGGGGGGCGCCGCGCGGCGGCCGCGGCGGCCCAGCGCGGCAACAGTAGCGGCGGACGGCTCCGGCCAGCGGCCGGCTCTGCGCGACGCTCTGTGTGTGTGGGGTGCTACTGAACCGGACCATCCGCGCTGCGCACGGGCCCCGGAACAGCTGTGGCGAGCCGTGTGCCATGCGTGCGCGCGCTCCGGAACGGGCGCGGCGCGCGACCAGGCCGAGGCGGTGCCCGGCTGGTGGGTCCACCATGCAGTGTAACTTGTACTCCTCATTCGGTTCCATGTCTTTTTTTGTCTTTCACACCTGACGGATTGCCAAGAGGTGGACATCGCGCCGGCCTTTGTAACGATTTACGATTGCTCGGCACCTCCGTCGGTGTTCGGGCCGCCCCGGCGGCGTCCCAGTGTTGATAGCTGCCGATGTGCGTGCGGGCGTCCAGAGCTGTCTGTATTGTCACGTACGCGGCGTGAGCGGCGCCGGCAGGCCGTTCTTGGCGCGCGCTCGACCTGCCGACCGGCTGGCACCGGCAGGTGGCGGTCACAGCGCTCCCCCGCCTCTCACCCCGCCGGCCCAGCGCGCCGGCCGCCGCCCCGCGCCGCCCTCGGACCTACGGGGTGGGCTCATTGGTTCCGGCTGCCTGCGGAACGACCTCGCCTGCGGGCGCGTTCTCACCATTCCACTGGGCCCCACGCGCCGCGCGGCCGGCCCCACCCCCGCTTCACGAGCTCCTCACGCGTGTGGTGGGAGCGAACGTATCAAGTGCACTGGCAGGGACCGGGTGCGAACTGAGGGCATTTCATTCTGTGGGGCCAGGCTGGCGCGTCAGCTCCCGGGGTGGCGGGGCGCGTGCCGCCCTCCGTCCCCTGTCTGGTCTGCTGCAGGCGCCCGGATCGATCGCACGCGTTTGTGGTAATATCGACAGTTGTGTGCGGCTCGTAAGAAAATAAATACCTTTACTGAACTGGCGCGTGTGGGTTCGTGTCTGGATGCCCCCGGCTGCAGCGTGTTCTGTACCTCGGGGCTGTTACGTGGCACGTTGTTCGGACCTTAAGGCCAGCTCATGGGATATGACCTCATCTCGGCCGTCTCCAAATGGGCAGCCGGTCGCTGCCGCCTGATTTTCTGGCTACCCTGTATTGACGTTTGTCGATGTCAACCTTCGTGATCAAAGTCGCCACCACACCAGCCGGCCTGCCTCCGAACGCCGCCCTCTCCGGGTACGTGGCGGCCGGTGGCGTGTGCGCGGCTGGCGGCGGCGTGGTCTGTAACCGTCTCGCTGATCAAGAAGTGGGATGGTACCGAGTCGCCGCATCGACTGGTCGCCTGTTTGTTGACGTCTTCTGCACCAAAGCTCATGGGCAAATTACACCGCCTTCCGAAACTTCACGACAAGTATCCGTTAAACCCAGCAGCGGCGTGTTGAACACCCTCTACACGACACCAGACATGGAACAGGAGTCTGTCGTGTCATTAACCATGCTTGATAAATGGATGCTGTCATAACCTGACTAAACGGGTGAGTCTTGCCACTGCCGCCACTTCGTGCTGCAGGCTACCATAACATCGATACCTTAGCTCCACCATTTGTCAGCCCGATCACGGACATCACTGACGAAGTGAACCAGCGCTGCTGGACAGCGGCCGTCGCTGGGAACCGTAGCGAGTCTCGGTTGGCGCCCGCCACTAGTCAGATAGTTCCGGATTTGGCCGCTGGATGGCAGTGTCTGCTCGTTTGTTGAATGGCGCTGCGCAGAACCTGTCGGCCGCATTGGCTGCTGTCTGCCGGCGTTTTGAACCAACATGGAGCGGGCAATACCTCTTTGAGGTCTAGCACGCTCTTTGCACTCTTCTTCCTTTTGGCTTGGCTGTGCATGCTATGTACAACCTTGTGGCCGTCGAGCAGTTACAGTCCGAAGATGAATATTTGACATAAGAATAAGCGTGAACCTCATTCTTGGAAGTTCTTAGGTCTTAGACATTTATGCGACAAAATCTCTATTAGATCAAAGCGCAGGAGGGCAAATAAAAGGCCGTGATGCGACGTTAGTATGCAACTTTTGTGAATCCTGCTCTGGACAGGCTTCTCTGTTTTCTTCGAGACGTTTGAATTTAATTAGTCGGGTCAGGGTGTACATTCCCCGCTCCTCTGGCAGCGAGAGCCGGGAGAGGCGCGCCGCACACGGGACCAGCTGACACCCTCAGCCGCCACTCCTGCCGGGAGCTGGGTACGCAGCTCGCCGCGGGGGACCACGTCGGCATGATGCCAGCCCAACCGGGCGCCAGGCAGTTCATGTTTCAGCACGTTTTTACCTTGGTTGATTGTGTAACGGACACAAGGTTGTGGTTGAGCCGCGCCTAGGGCTCGAAAATGAAATGTTGCAGGTTTACTGTCTGAAGTGATTGTTTGGGCAGATCTGAAAAGGATTGGCTTAGTTGTTTCCTGTCATACACGTTTTTCGGGGTTAATGCATTTTGTGTAAACTTAGAGGTCATTAAACGTCTCAGGGGGACAGTTCGCGTCTGCAAATTGGCTGGTGTATGCGTCTTTTTCAATTTGTCGAGATGAAATCAAGGTTAGTTGCTGCGACCTCGTGCTTACAAAAGCGATGAGCCGAATTGAATACATTCGTAGCGTTTGTGTTGACGTCATAGATCTTAGTCTGACCCTGCATTCTCATGGAATTTCTGCAATTTGTCCGCCAAACCGCAGGCCATATTGGCACAACTGCTGTCAGGCCTTCCACCGTCGAGGGTCTTCCCATATCCCCGCCATCCATGCCGGGCGCAGGAGATCGCCGCTCTGACGGCGCCGGCCGGGATCCATCCCCGTCATCGCACAACAGTCCTTGCTCGCTGCGCCGCCAGCCGCCGCTGCCAGCGCACGTGCCCAGACGCGCTGCACAGCGGCGCGGCCTGCGCGGCCCGGGCGTGGCCGGCCTGCTGGTGACACACACCTGTGGCCGGCGCCTGCAGCCGGCGGCCGGCGACGGGCGCCCGCCGGCCGGCCGATTACAGTTGTGTCGGCGGCATTCCCGGCGCCCCCCTCCAACGCGGCGCGGAGGTGATGGCCGCTTGCCGGCGGCGGCATCGCGACTGCCTGCTCCATCATGCGGCGGAGCCGTCGTGTCCGATCCGATCTGACATCAGCCGCGGACGGTGCACCGAGGAGAGAAATGACCTCCGAAGGCGAGCCCGTCCAGAGCTTCATGCAGTACACGACCTATACAACTTCGATTTCATATCCGTGCCTGGAAAAACTATTAAAGCTCGTTAAACGTTTCAGGCGTTAAACAAGCCACAGTGCGAATGATGAACATGATCATAGTGGAGACCAATTTCTGAGGCAGTATACGTCGGAGAGGCATAGGAGCATCGCCTGGTTAAAAGGCTTCGCTTACTACATCTTAATCCATAAGTTGTTCTGTGCCTTAAGCTGGAACCAACAAAAGAGTTGCTTACTGCTCATTATAAGTTAGCGTTTGCGGTCGTTTCGTAAAGAACTCTGCTTTGGTGCCTTGCAACGAAAGCGGGTCGATCTTCTGTGTTCCTTCGTGCGTGTTGGGAGCGAACCAGGCGTGGGAAACCGGGGTCGCTCTATTGTTTTACAGGAAAATGGTGTGGTTATACCCGATGTACATTTTCACTTAACAGGAAAGTGAAAAACGGTTGCACTTAAAAACACGCTTAAAAGCTGCAGGACACCTTATTACCTTTCCTGATTGTTAAGGACAGGTGGAAAAGTCGTCACACATCAAGCAACTTCTAAGCGATGCGACATCATTGGAGACTTGGTTTACCATTCGACAGCCACGTAAACATCACTGCCGCTAGAGAGTTCGAATCAGCGAATGCACCGAGCTCGGAACCGTGGAGAAGTACGAAGTGGGTCCCGCTGCCAGCAGCACGTGCCAGTCCGTATGCTGCAAACATGCTGTGCTCAAGCCACGCCTTCCAACACAGCCGTCTCGCCCCGGCCGGGCGAGTCCCGCCGCCTCGCTTGGGTCCCCAACGACCGGACGCTGTGTTTATTCGCTTAGATATATAGGCCAGCTTGTGATATATCTAGCCTGTTATCTGGCTTATGCACACTGCACCATGTACTGCAATCAGACTTGTAGTTACCTTAAGTGGTATCAATTTCGTTGAGGACTTATTAGGGTTCGGACTCGGCTCCATTGGTTACTCAACCGAAGTGGATTCAAAATTGATCCCCATGGTTTGCAACAGAACGGGAATTGATCCGATCCCGCTCGAAATTCCCTATCCTCAAGATGACTCAGCCACAATCTCTGAGGTGTTTACATGGCAAGCCTGCCGCTGCACAGGATGACGTCCAAGCTAGTTCGTGCTCACATTTAATGTTTCGCTCAACTTCGCAGGGAAACCAATCTGCTAAGTTGGGCGGGGAGGCAAGAGGGTCTGGTTCGGAGGCTGGGGTTGGGAAGTTTCAACAATCCAAAATTTCCTGGTTTGAAATGCAGAAAAGTTTGTCCTATTACCGCTGCCTTACCGATGTTTTCAAGGAATCTCAAATATTATGCCATGTGCGCACGAATGCATGCATTTTTAAATCTACACGCAAAGCAGCTGTCTTGTTGTAGGCAACTTTTGCATATTTCTTTTCAAAACCACCCACAATTGTAATTGTGCTGGGGTCAGATTCGGATTCGCTTCCAATCTTCAACAGTCGCACGGAACCAAGTTAAGGTGCGGCTATGTGGCGCCGGTAGTGCAGTGG